CGCCGAGTCCGAAAAAGGCTTTCATGAGTATATAGGCAACGACTGAGGGAGAGAGACCGTATACGGTTTCGACATTTGTAATATCCCAAAGGAGTATTCTGTACTAAAGTGAACATGACACCTGTAGACCAAAAAAAAACTATCAAGCCTGAAGCCAGAACATGAAAGAGCCCATAAAAAATATGGCGGCGCGTGCCAACCTGAAGATGCATTCCAATAAATATTATTATACGTAATACTGTAATGCAGACAGCTCAGTGCAGGCACGTGCAGTCAGGGTTACTGTGGCGATCTGTCAATCTCTTCTTCTCCCCTCCAGCAACGATCGCTGGCAAAACCACATGTTGACTTAGGGATTTGTGGTTCTTGGCAGAGTTGACTAGCCCCCAATAAACTTCCACCCAAGGGGGTATTTCAATTTTTCTACGAGGAGTTTAATTACGTCATGAAATTAAGGTATCCCTTTTTTTACGTGTTTTCGTGTTCGCGGATGATTTAAAGCCTGATTTGTATAATATGTTTTGAAGGGCGTTCAAGTTGAGTATTCTGTTCCTCCCAAGTGGGATTTCCTCAATGGTCAATCAATTTCAACACTAATTCTCCAATCATTTTCATCAGATTTCATTCCACTTCGTCTCACTTTGCGGTCCGCTGCAAAACTCGATTTTGTGAAATCATTTTAAAGATCGAGAGTCTCATTCAAATCGTCACTAAAAGTTATCGAGCAGATGACGAATTTGTATCACGCCGCTTTGACTCGATTGCAAAATGAGAAAATTGACTGAACAAAGTATGAAAATGAATGGCCAAAGACGTGGCCCAAAAGAAAATTGAATATTAATTATGTACGATTTTAAGTTTCGATAGAAGAATAGTTAAAATAGACGGGAAAACATATATATTTTCTCAACTAGTTTTTTTAATCCCAATTTCCTTCATCTCTCCTATCGCTCTTGTTTTTTTGTTTTTTTTGTTTTTTGTTGTTTACTGGCTGAACAAGTTCAAGGGCCATGAGCACCTGTGCCCCTTGCTTGTCTACGACAGTGAACCTATGATGTTCCTCATTTAAATTGAAAATGACTACATTTAAAAAAAAATCCCGCGTGTGAGAAGGGGGTCGGTCAACCCAGTAAAAAGTTTTGAAATGCCCTTTGTGCTCGGGTTATTCATTTGCAGTTTCAGGCCAAGTTCCCAATAACCGTTTGTGGAGGGGGTATACAATACAGTAATTTTACCGCAAATTCGATTCGAGCTAGCTAGCCTAGCCGAGCCATGCCAAGGCCGCCGACCATCTTTTCTACTAGATTCCCGCGTAGGCAACACATCTTTTCTAGCGCTAGAGCGGTCCGGTCACGTTCATCTTCATCCTTCCTCGGTCCTATTTGCAGGTGTATTTTGCAGCCAGCTCTCACATTGTGGTTATTTCATTGACGTCTAGCTACTTTTCTTCTTCTAGCTACAATTCTCAAGCTAATCAACGTGAGTTCACACTTTTCGTAGGCTAAATTATATCATTTGATTTACCAAAAGGCAAAAATAACTTGAACTTAATTAAAATTGTTACGACCTAGAAATTAGAATCATAACGTTTTTCAGTAGTGTTTTCTGGCCTGAGTGATAACTGATACTGATAATGTAATGAATATTGATAGGGGAGGCACTATCACTGGCACTGTGGAGGGCCTAGATACTCACTCTTATTAATGTATTAAAGGTTTCTCTTTCTAAATTCTATCGACACTTCAATCTACCTTTTCTTCCGTAAGCCTCCGCCAGGCTATACACGGGGAAAATGGATAAACAAAAGTCACGTTGGTCACTGTGGAGGAAAAGGAAGAGGATGGTTGAAGAACATATCAATATTATTAATTCTTTTGCATACAATCATGACGATGATGATGTCCGATTATGTACCAATAGGCCTAGTAGTAGTACTAGTACGTGTGCTAGAGCAGAAGGTAATGGTGATGATCTAGCCATGGGTCATGTTGATCATCCAGCAATGTCCAAATTACTAATGAGTCTAGATCTACTACCAGTACAATTACTAACAGCAATAGCAAAGATGTTGAATCTGAATGTGAATCTGTACAAGTCAACATTGACGCGCACGATTTAGATTTGAATCTGATTCTGTCACTCTCTTTGATCAGCAAAGTCTTCTCCAATGCCCAAAAAGCGCACTTTCGAACTAGATTTTGAGAAATATGGCAGAACTCATTTTGAGAATGATACTGTCGATGTCACTGACATTGACAGTGACTCTAACCATTCTCATAATGTCCTTGCAAAATGAGTCTGCAGCTGCACCGGTTTCCTTCCATAATTCTGAAATGACGGGCAGCTCACTCGTCCCATTGAATGTGGAGATGGCCCAACATTTGACATGACCCTCTAGGTGATAAATTCAGTGTCGGTGATACTAGTAGCTCAGATATTTCTGATGACTACTATTCACCCTCGGCCTCGTGCTCCGATGAAAGTGATCATGATGATTTTGATTTTGACACACAGAAGCTTTCAAGTGACCTTGCAAATTGGGCAGCTGTCGCCCAAATTCCTCAATCAAACTGCGTGGATTGATGTCAGTATTGCGCAAGTATCACCCTGAATTGCCCAAAGATCCTAGGACTCTCCTTCAAACTGTTACCGACTATGAAATAACAAATATTGCTGGGGGAGAGTATTACCACTTTGGTGTTGCAGATGGCATTAATAGGATATCAGAAATTTGTATAGCTACAAAAGATGCTACCAGAATCAATCTCCAGATCAATATTGATGGTTTACCTCTCTTTAAAAGTTCTAAAACTCAATTTTGGCCAATACTAGGGAATAATCAATGCCTTTTGAAAGTGAAACATTCATAATAGGCTTATATTGTGGAGAGAGTAAGCCACATAGTGTTCAACATTATTTGACCAATTTGTCTCTGAGATGAAAGGCCTAGAAGAATCGGGCGGGGTTATGATTAAGTCCACAAATGATCTCATTCCATATCGATTGCATGCTTCATTTGTGATGCTCCTGCTCGTGCATTTGTGAAGCAGACAAAGCCACACAACGCGTACTATGGCTGTGATAAATGTGTACAGAAAGGTGACTGGTCAAACAAAGTTATCTTTCCTGAAACTGATTCGCCACTGAGAACTGATTCTGCTTTCAAAAATATGGTGCAGAAAGAACACCATAATAACAAATCTCCAATTTCTGAGTTATCAGTTGGATTAGTTTCCCAATTTCCGCTTGATCCAATGCACCTTGTTCATCTAGGTGTTGTGAAAAGGCTAATTTGGAGCTGGACCAAAGGACCAATTAGATTCGAATCAGTGCAAATATGCGTAGACAAATTTCAGATTGTCTTCTATCTTGTCGACCATTTGTTCCTCGGGAATTTCCAAGGAAGTGTCGACCTCTAAGTGAATTTGAAAGGTGGAAAGCTACTGAATTGCGCCAATTTATAATTACAGTGGACCTGTCGTATTGAAAGGTAAACTCTCAGATGATGTTTATCTCCATTTTCTTCTCTTATCTGTTTCAATATATTGTTTATCCAGTTCATTGTACTTGCCGACATATTGTGACTATGTTAAGGATTGCTTGACACATTTGTTAAAATGTGGGCAGGCTTGTATGGGCGAGATATGCTTGTATATAATGTCCATGGGCTAACACATTTGGCAGCTGATGCCAAGAAATTCGGTCCTCTCGATTCGTATTCTGCCTTCCCGTTTGAAAGTTTTCTTGGGAGATTGAAAAAAGTGGTACGTAAACCGCATAGGTGTCTACCTCAAGTGATACGAAGACTATCTGAGAATAAAATAGGGGAAAGGAAAGATGAAAAAAAGTCGAATGACTTTTGTTTGGGGCCTGAGCATACAGACGGTCCAATCCTCCTTGCCCACAAAAGGCACTTAACACAGCACAGATATGTACAATTCAATGGCCTTTACTTTTCAGCAAAGGACAGTGACAGTTGCATTCAAATTGTTCACGATACGGGCTGATAAGAAACATTATTCAGGATCCACAGAATTTGACTGTGATGGTGATGTTTCAACAATTTATGAGGGTTGACAACTTTTTTCCAGCGCCCACTGGATTCTTCAGACCTTGGGATTGTGAAAGTCAGTCGATTATCTGATACTCTGAAAGCCGAAAAGCTATCTGAAATTGTTTGCAAGTTGTACCGAATTCCTTATAAGGAATCATTTGTACTTGTGCCCCTTGTCCACCAGTTTTGTTGAATTTTCTGTCTGAGTTCAGATTATTACTTACAAGAATCTTCTGTAGTTTGTACAGTAACGCAACTCTTGTATCAATGAACTCTTATGCAATTTGTTTATTAATGATTGAATACATCTAGATGCAATTTGTTTATTAATGATTGAATACATCTAGCTGCATTTAGTGAAGGATAGTTAAGAAGTGTTTGAGACTTGACAGATCTATCAAAAATATATATTTTTTCTTTGAGCTGTCGGGTAGATATTGATGATGACATTTTGCACTAGCCATATCTCTGGGCTGTCGGCTCTCGACAAAATATCTCGACAAAATATCTCGACAAAATATCTCGACAAAATATCCCGCTAATTGCAACTGCAGGCTGATGAAGACCCAAATTAGCTGGATAATTTGCGATTGGGATAGTTTAATAGCGGCAATCTCAAGCTGATGAAAACAGGCCTATGGTCCCCCCCCCCCAATTTCCAGTAATTTGGCTTGCGTATCTTGCTCACTGCTTGTGTACAGGGATCAGCAATCTGCTGTGAAGCTACAGTGTATCCTTTAGTCCATGAAGTTGGAAGTATTATTATCAGAAGCATAGAAATGACTTTAGAAATTGTGTTGAAGATGAGTGGGAAAGAGAATACTTTTACTACAATTACTGTACATACACATTTTAATGTAAGTGTACAATTAAAATCACAGTATCACAACAAATTTGTCACTTCTCAAATCTTTAAAGATAATGCCATTGAACTACGTGATAGTAGAATTTGAGAAGGAGGCTGGGAGCGCGAGAGACATCTCTAGAAGTCGTACCAGAAACCTGGAGGGACACAGAAGGGAATGGTTGCTTCCTGTACCCGGAGCATTACACTGCACCACGGGTGATAAAGGCTGCTAAGAAAGGAGAACCTCCAACGGACCTGTGGAAATCTTTCCCAGTTAAAAAGGAGTGGCTTACCACAGGTAAAGAAACATTTTAGTGTATAATTGTTATAATCCTGTATTAAATGTAATGAATACAATACAAGAATAAATTTTCTTGATATTAGAAGATTCACTATGCAATTGGTACCCCCCTCCCCCCCCCCCCCCAAAAAAAAGGAAATAACATAACATAAATAAATAACAAATAAATAAGTATGGTGGTCAGGGATATTCTGTGCTATGTCATATGACCTCAAATCACAAGTTCAACTTTAAGTATATTGTTAAGTTTTGTATTATGTGTGGCCAGTATTCAATAAGACTGAAAAGCATGGGGGGGGGAATCAAATTTCTCTGTATCTACAGTACTTGATCTAATTTGATGAGGATGTTTTTGTGTTTTTTTTTTTTTACAGAGTCATGGGATCGTGCCAACAGAAGGTGCACGAAATTGGTCGCAACTAGCAACCCAAGCGATTCTGAGGAGGATTTAAGCATCAGGAAGCGGAAGAGGAAGTAGGTTCCAATATATTGCATAGATTAATCAAAGTCGTGAATTCTTGTCTGTGATAAGTACCTCTAAAAATAGTTTTCTAGTGCAGGGCCAGGTAGCAGGTGGAATTGACTGAGTTAATGTTTAGATCTGAAATATATTACTAGAGATACTTAGCAATTAAATCCAGCAACAGCAAACACATTTTGAAAAAATTGTTTGAAGTTTCCACTTTAAAAGTCTATAGATGACCTGTTCTTTAAAATTGTAACTAAGTGATACATTAAATTAAAGCTCATTAGCCACTCGTGCAATGAAATAGAAAGTCTCTGCTGACAATTGCCTGTTATTGGGTCACATATAATAGATCATGCATTTTTTTCTTTAATGAAATATTCACCAGCTTACGCATGTTGCGAAATTTATATTTTAGGAAGAATTCCAAATACATAGATGAAGATGACGATGATGACTGTGAAATGATCATGGACAACAGTCGTGACACAATCTCGGAAAGTGAAGAAGAACAAGTAAACCTCCCAACACCACCACGTCTTCTAGTTGCAAGTAAGTTTCATCATCTTTTGATAATTTTGCACAGATATTGACATGCATATGAAGTACACTGTTACAGTCATTTATTTATTAGTTCATCACATTTAGGCAAATAATTAGATGACAATTTTTACATATTGGATTCTTTTATGAAGGTCAAAAGTTCTGAGTAGCATAGTCAACAATTTTGTATTAAAAAAAAGAAATCAAATTTCAAATCTATACCTTAGTATTCTTATTGTTTTTCTAATTTCTGATCTATTCTATTGTTTTACTAATTTCTGATCTATTCTATTGTTTTTATTTCTCATGTATCGCTTTATTTTTATGATTTGTTGCAAGAGTTGCGAGAAACTTAAAAGAGGCAAAAGTCATGAAAGGCAAGTCGCGATCTGCAGCGGTTGAGCAGCTGTCATGGAATATTAATTACCCCCCTTCCCACAAATGGGATGAAATTTTGTTAATAAGACTATTGAGGCAATTATATTTCCCTTTAATTTTTATGCCTCCGCTACAAAGTAGCCGGAGGCATTATGTTTCTGGTTGTCCGTCCGTCCGTCCGTCCGTCCGTACGTCCCGTTCTCGTGATCGCGTTATCTCAAGAACCAATTGATGTATTCCCTCCAAAAACTTGGGATCATGTATGTATCTTACAGAGCCAATGAACTGATTAGATTTTGGGGGTCACAAGGTGAAGGTCAAAGGTTACAGGGCTCATTATATATGCAAAAAATCGCTCGTGATCGCGTTATCC